ATTTATACTCAAGGCTACTTGTCAGGGTAAAGGAAGGAGAGAAGGAAGCTAAAGTCATTTAAATAAATGCCTTTTGCATTGAAAAACAAAAAAAAACCCAGGGCACCTGAGTGATTCAGTCGTTAAGCATCTGCCTTCCACTCAGGTCATGATCCCAGGGTCCTGGGATCGAGGCCACATCGGGCTCCCTGCTCCGTGGGAAGCCTGCTTCTCCCTCTCCCACTCCCCCTGCTTGTGTTCCCACCAAAGAAGGTGTCTCTCTCTGTCAAATAAATAAATAAGAAAAAGAAAAAAGAAAAAACCCAACTCATTTAGTCATAACATGTAACTAGGGTGTGGATATTTATTTCTTTGTGGTCAGAAATAGGTAATATTTCTATTTCCATCAAAATTGTCTCAGCTGTTAAAGGTATTCAAATATATGATAAATAGGTAAAGAGTAGCCTATTATGTGTGCTTTATTCTATCAGAATATCTCTCAGCAGTCCCTTTCTTTCTCTTAGTATCTTTCTCTCTGACGTGCTGACTGTCTCTCATACACACACATGCACACACACACAGTGTGCTTTTTTTTTTTTTTTTTTTTTAGGAAAGGAGTCAGGTAGAGAAAAGGAAAACTGTCTAATAGAAAAAACAATGAACTAATGTTCAATTCCCGCTCCATTTCCAGCCAACTTGGTGTCCTAGACAGCCTTCTTTCTTTCTTCCTCAGTGTCTTCCTCTGCAAATTGGGAGATCACAGCCAATAAGTTTATCTAATAGGTTGCTGTGAGACTACATTCTGTCTCTGTCCAGTCTGTCTTTGAACACTATATGAAGGGCTATACCAGTTTAAAAGTATACCAGTTTTGTCCTATACCCACTTAGGAACCCATTACACCATATATAGAAATTTGAGGTAGATTATCCATTAAAAAAGCATGAGTTCAGGGACTAATTGTCATGGAGATGAGTGACTGTCCACATTTTAAAGGGAATTGATTTCAACTTGTACCTTTTATTCTGATAAGAATTATCTATACAGAAGGAGATCAGTCGCGGTACCACTTAAACTGAATAGAATGGATTCTTGATGAAGATAAAATGGTACAATACCACAGCAGAGACTGAAGTTTCAAATGCTTAGAACTGTGGTCTCAGAGGTCACTTAGCCCAACTTTCTGTCCTGGGTATGAACCTCCCTCTGACAAGGAAGCTTTGCTGGATTCTTTTGGTCTCTGCTTGATAGGTAACTCTCACCATCTTGGGGCAGCTCTTAGGAATTTTGGACATTTCTGACAAATCATGTTAAAGAAGAACTTCCTGTGTCCCTGTAACTTTAGTCCTGCCCCCCAGATACACAGAATAAGCCTCTTTGAAGATTGAAGTCAAGCTCCCCAGATCCCTCTCTTTTCTCAAAGAAATGACTCTAGAGTCTACAATTGTTCCTCTTGGGTTAAAGCTTCATCTCCCTGATTGTTCTGGTTACTTTCTTCTTTCCAGATGTTAGTTTAGGTAGACTCTTCTTAAAGTTTGCTGCCAGGAAATGCCCCCTGAGCAATTTGTGGAGATCTGACCAGCATGATTACTCTCACATCCTCAGCACTGTTCTTCTTTTTGCAGCCTAAGCTGGCATAAGCATTTTTGACAGCACCAAATTCTTTCCTTTCAGCGACTGCCTTGGCACAGGTGGTATGTTGCCACTCTGCCAGAGTGAGAGAAAATGATGCAGTAGGATCTGGCAGGACCTGAACACCTTTACAGAGGATAGGCTGGGAACCTGAACAGGGAAAAGAAAAAGCCAGAGATGTGAAGCTTATGGGTGGCTTGGGTAGAAGGGTAGTAGGGGAGGGAAAGTTTAGAACTGAGAGACAATATTCTTAGAGATCAACTCTCTGACAACTCAATAGAAGAATGCGAGCTTCGAGCTTTTCCCTGTGGTCCTCTGACTCCGAAAGTCTTTTAAGTTATTTGAAAGAAAAGTTAACATGGGGCTGGAAAGTTTATATATTTTTTAAAAAATTTAATGAGGCGTTTGGAAAAGTAATCAGATGTTATACTGGATCCTATTCAATGGCAGCTGCTACCTGCATAAAGTAAGGAAGACTTCAAGGAAATAAAAGTTGTTTGGAGAAATCCAGATGTTATGGCTTTGTATGTTGTGATGATGTGGCAGGCAGCCTCCTAATGATTCTTAGGTCCTGGTACTCATACTCTTGAGACTGACTTAAGTAACCAATAAGATACTGTGGAAATGATGGAGTGTTACTTCTGAAATTAGGTCGTGAAAGATGTGGCTGCTCTCTTGCCCTCTTGGATCACCTGCTCTGGAGGAAGTCAGCAACCACGTCATGAAGACACTCAAGCAGTCCTAGAGAAAGATCTTCATGGTGAATAAAGGAGGCCTCCTGCCAACAGTCAGCATTGACTTACTAGCCGTATGAGTGAGCCATGTTGGAAGAGCCTCCCTTAATCCCCACTAAACCTTTAGATGACTAGCTCTGGTAGACATCTTGACTGTAATCTCTTGAGACACTAAGCCAGAACCATCCAGCTAAGGTCCTCCTGAATTCCTTATCTGCAGAAACTGTGAGATAATGTTTATTGCTGTTTAAGTTACTAAGCTACTAAGTTTTAAGCTCCTAAGCTACTAAGCTTGAGGAATTTATTATGCAGTTATAGATAACTAATACAGGTGAATAGAAAGGAGGAATAAGGAATAAAGACCTCTCATTCTAGGCCTGGACTTGTTCCGGACCCCAAGGATGGAAGAAGTGCTCATTTCTGCTTTTGGACACTGCTGACAACCAACAGAGCTAGAGGATGACAAGAAGGAAGGGCTTCGTGCCCTCTTGTCATCCTCTTCCTCCCCTCCCTCCTCTTTGTCTTTAATGGAAGACTAGGATGACATTGAGAACTCACACAAATTTTGCTTTTGACTTTACAGTGGCCCTTGGGAAAAGCTGCACTGGCCTTTATCCATTTGTTACAGGCTGTGGTTCCTTGAGAGCAGGGTTTGGATCTTAACTATTTCTATCCTCATTGCCTAGCAAGTGAATGTATATGAATAATGAATGATATTAAGGGTGAGGGCAAAATCCCTCCTTCCTCCTGAATTCTGAAGGGATTCCATTCTTAGAATGCTTCCTTAACTGGAACTATTCCATTCACAATTCATCAATGAAGTCTTGACAATAACAGCATGCATGCCATCAGTTATTTTCACGATTACAAACCTCCCTAGTTCACTATTTTAAAAATCTCTCCATTTACGCTTCTTGCATTTAGGAGCTTCCTTTCACTTTTTCATCCCATTTCTTCCACGGAATGTTGCTTTAAACTGTTGCTCGAGCTCCCAAGATGCTTGGCCTAGGAGAGCACAGACATCTGCTGCTAATATACCAACATACCACTGTCAAGTTGTCCAAAATCACAGTGCAAACAGCCCTGATTAGAGATAGGAGAACTAATTCTGGGCTGCTGTCACTGATTAGCCTATATGTCCTTGGGCAAGTTGCTTCCCCTCTCTGAACCTCAGTTTCTTTATCTTAAACTGAGAGATTGGGTTAAATGAGCTCTAAAGTCATTGGATTCGCTCAAGTTAGAATTCCAAGGTGCAATCCTAAAGTGCAACCCGTGGTCAGCATGCCTCTGAGTAACTGTTACTGTTACAGTACAAGGTTTCGGGGACTTCCCTTTATTAGCCCCAGCATATGGCCTCGGCGAAAAGCTGTCAGGTTTACCGGAAGAGTCTTCCGGTTTTGAAAGACGATCTTCGCGTTTCCAGTTTTGTTACTAACTCTGAGTGACCTTGGGCAAATTCTCTCTGGACCTCAGAGGAGGGAGGTCCCTGTTATTCAGACGAGGCTCAAAGATCTGAACAGTGACTTGGACAGCTTGTCGCAATTTCTTCTTCTACAACCCGGGTGGCTCAGACCCAGAGCCGGGTTCTGGCCGACCCAAAGTCCCTCTCTGACGTGCAGTCTAAACTTAAACCAGCCGCGAGTGCGCTGGCTTTCGGAGGAGGTAGCTACAGGTGAGTTCTTAAAGGGGCCGCCAGAGCTTGGGTAATACCTGAGACTGATGACTGGGCGTGGGGCACAGGCAAGGGGGTGTGAATGAATGAGCGAGTGAAAGAAGGAACAGATGTTCTCTTTCCACTCTTCAATACATTCACACTTAGAATTAATCACTTAGACTTAAAAACCCTCTAGTAAACCCCTCAAACTCTTAATCTATCGCCCTATTTTACGTGCCTTTCTTTATTCAACCCCCCTCCTCCCAAAAGACTTTTGCTGAAGGGCGAATAAAAAAAAAAAAAATCAGTACAAAGTGGAAGACGGTGCAGAGATTGCACCCCCCCAGCTCCCGCCCAAACTCCTCCCCCTTCCCCCCTTCCCGGCCCCGCCCCCGCCCCTAATGTGGGTGTTGCAGTCTACTCCTTCCCAAGACCGATTTTCCCGGTTGGGGATCTACCCCCGGGGGCGCCAGGCTCTCTCTCCTGCCTAGGACTTGAAAACAGCCACGTGTTTAGTGAGGTTAAAGGGTGTCTCGGAACGTGTGTCTTGGATCTGGTGTAGGTGAGGTCACGTCTCTCTTCAGACACCCAGACCCTTCCGGGCCTGGCGCGCTACTTGCTCTGTACCGCGGGACACACCGGTGGGCTAAGGCGAGGTAAAGGCAGACTCTTCCAGGGCCACGACGGACAACCTGTAGAGTCTGTGTGTCAACTCCTTTGTCCTCAGAGCCACTTCGGTGGCGGCCCTTTAAGAGAGGAGACTCACTTGGGATGTTCCCCGGGTCCCCTTTCCCGTTCCCCAGCCCCCTCCCGGCCCTCCTCCCCCTTCCAACCCAAAGGTAGCAGAGCTGAGAGCCCGGGGCTCGGCGCCAGCCGCCTCCTCACTTCCCATTGGCTGAGAGCGCGGGGAAGGCGGTCACGTGGGGGCGCGGCAGTCCAGCTCCGGGGCCGCCATCTTGGCGGAAAGTTTGGGGGGAGAGCGGTTGGGGGCGCGGAAGGAGGCGAGGTTCCGGGGGTGGGGCGGCTGGAGGGGAAAGGGCGAGCGGGTAGTGGGCCGCGGCGAGTGAGGCGGCCCGGGCAGAGGAGGAGGAGGAGGAAGCGGCGGCGGGGGTGCGGCCGCCAAGGGGAACTCCTCCCCCGTTCCCTCACCCCCCTCAGTTCAGCTCCCCGAGCCCCGGGCGGGGCGGGGGGACGTGGAGCGGGGCAGGGCGGGGAAGCCGCCCCGACTGGTCGGGAGCGCACCCCAGCTCCGAGCGCACGCCGCTTGCAAGAACTTTGTGGTGGCGCCGCAGGTGTGGGGGCCCGCGGAGGTGTGCATGTGGGGCGTGAGGGCGTCGCGGAGAGCGGCCGCAGCCCTGTCCGGCCCCCGCTGGAGTAGCCCGGAGGCAGCGAGCAAGGAGAAAGGCAAGCTAGAGGAGGGGGCCCGAGTGGGGTGGGGTGACCAGCTTAGCTGGTCCTGTCTCAGCGCTGTATGGTCGCTACTATCTTAGAGGCCAAGGGTCGGAGCGCCTCTGCACCGCCCCCCCCCCCCCCGTAGCAGGTGGGGAATATGCATACTTACGCCCGGAGAGGGGTGGCCCCACGTCTAGGCATTTAGTACCGTTTGGAGAGGGAGCAGCTTTCGAGGAGAATTTGGAAGCAGGCTTCTGTCTGCTTTTAATTTGTAGGGGTACCCACCCTTAGGTAAAAGCTTTCTAGATTGACTAACACTGCTGGGGTTTGAGGCTTGCTCTTTCACTTAGGAAAACTTCGCCAGGTGGTGGCCTTTTCAAATAGGGCTGGGAGTTTTTCGATTTGAGATTCAGGGGGAAATACTAGTTTAACCACAATTCTGTTCTTTGCTTTAGTTGCTTCTTTTCTGTTTTTAAAGGTGTGTGCCCTCTTCCTGATACTGGAGAAAAATGCCAGTCCGGAAGCAAGGTGAGAATTTATTTCGGAACTCTCCTGTGTGTGTGTCTGTTCTGTGATTGCTGTGTTTTAAAAATGTTTAATTCTGATGAGACAACATCGTTTTAGCCTTACTACTTAGGGAATCTAAGCGCCATACCCTTCAGAAGAGGGAAACATCTAAATGTTTTTCAAACTTTCTTTTTTGACATCTCTCTAGTGACTGGAGAGGCAGTTAATTTCACTCCTCTGAAATGTCTTTTTAAAAACTTTGAATTGGTGTTTTAATATTTTACTTTGTGATTCTTACTAAACACTCTTTTGTGAGCAATTGTAGGATCCAGGCTAAGAGCGCTAGTATTTTGAAACATTTAAGATTTGTATTATGACAAATTGTAGATAATCTGCTTTTGCATATCAGATCAGTTGAAGCTATGTTAACTAATATCTTGATCAGTCTTTTATTGTGGTAGACTACTAGTACACATTTATTAGCAACTGCTTATCGTCCTTTTTATGTGACATTTAAAAAAATTTTTTGATTATTCTAGGGAATACATATGTTTGTGAATGTAGTAGCATTGATTGAGAGGATTTGGGGAAGTGTTTAGATGTCTTGCAGAATTATTTGCTGCATAAGTAGTGTGTAATTTTAATCGGACTCTTCTTTTCTTCTCAGACACCCAGAGAGCATTGCACCTTTTGGAAGAATATCGTTCAAAACTAAGCCAAACTGAAGACAGACAGCTCAGAAGTTCCATAGAACGGGTTATTAACATATTTCAGAGCAACCTCTTTCAGGCTTTAATAGGTGGGAATTAAAACTTTATTCGTGACCATTATGTGTTAGCTAGGCTTAATGCTTTTCTGAATTCATTTATTTTAAACTTAACAGAGTGATGTATTTGGTTCTCTATAAGGCGTTCAGTAACTTGAACATCAAACTTGTATGTTTGATAGGCCAATATCCTTTCCAAAAATATCTAATAACCAAAAATATCTAATAACCAAATATCTAATAACCAAAAAAACTTTCAGTATGATTATTTCAGTGGTCTTTGGTGACAGTGTTTTATATCCTCAGCATTAACTATTAAAAGATGGAGAAGTTGCAGAAATGTTTCAGGATCCAAAAAATAAAGACTGAATAACTAACTTTTAGCTTGTTTCTATATTTGACTTCTATTTCTCTGAAGTCCCTGAAAATGTTTGAAGAGTTCTGTTATGTTTAAGGACATACATCTCCTTAATATAGACTTCTGTTTAAACTTAGCATTCATGGAGTCAGAATTTTAGACCTGGAAAATTATCTTAGAGATGATTTTGTCATTTTGTCTAATACTATTTTGTAGCCAAGAAAAATTGAAACAATATTATTCATAACTAACTTAAATTTAAGGTGGTGCATTGTTTTAAAGTAGAACTGGGCAAACAGTCAAGAGTCCTAAATTCTATTCCTTACACTGCCATTAATTGAATGGTATATAAGTCATTTGACCTTTTCTAGGTCACTATATTTTCTGTAGAATGTGAATGCAGTAGAACAATGGCTTTTAGCCCTTCCTCCACCCTGATTTTAAAGTAGCTAGGTTCTTTTTTAAAACAAAATCTCATATTTTGTACACAGTTCCCAATTTATAAAACAAGATGGTTTCTGGCCTCCTATAGGTACCTAGAAAAGTGGTCTACACCACAGAACTAGAAAATTTGTCCCTTCCAGTTCTAAGAATGAAATTTTTTTTATTAATCACTGACTATATAAATAGGACATGTACTTCATTGCATTACATTTATTTCCTTAGTAACTTCCAAGTCAATATGTACCTAACATCTGTTTATTAATAGAGTAACTTTTGATGTGTTTGTGGACTACCTTCAAATTAGTGTACTTTGTCAAAAAACTTAATGCTAAATTGATACTCTCTACTAAATTTGTTTTAAAATTAAGATTTTAAGGAAGACCCCTCAGTACACTTGAATAATTTTTAAATCTAATATTATTATAGACTTTTAAAAACCTACGCAAGAATAGAGAACAATATAATTAATATAATTAACTGTAACCCATCTTCAAAAATTATAAACATTCTGTCTTTTTTGTTTAAACTGATGGACATTTTTTACATTTGAATTTCTAAGCTCTGATGTTTAAGGTACAAATGGATGATCAAATTGGATTCCTCTGAAAAAACAGCCAAAAAGAAAGGGAAACATTTTTAGTTATTTGGTTTTCTAAATCAACATTAAACCTAGGAATGTTTTATTTAGTAGAGTCACTGTTTAGAAAAAAAATAGTATGACTTGTATGTCCTCGTTTACCTATAGACATAGATGGGTGTAGTCCTTCTCTGTGTGAAGTCTGTGACTTAAGAAAATTAAATGGTCAGTAAAGTAAACAGATTCTACACTTCTTAGATTTCTCTGTAGATTGGAGGTAGATTTGGAGGGTATGTGTGGAGGGATTTTTAAAATATATTCCGCCTTGCCTGTTTTGAATGTTTATCTGTTCTTACACATAATTGAATTTTAAGAGAATTAGTCTTCTAATAAGTTTGTATTTGTCAGTCTTCTTAGTCCTGTATAATTTCATTGGTTGTGAATGAATTTACCTTGATATTTAGATTTACATACATTTTAATGTTTTATAGGATGTGATATCAAATTTTGGTGTAAGAAAAATAATAGATTTTAGGAATTTTGAAATGGGTAAATTAGTAGAGATTTTTATGTGTTTCCATACTGTAATTGAATTGTTTACTAAATTAATAAATGCATTTTTTTGTATTTACTGAAATTGGGTTAATTTATTAAACTTTATTACTTTTGTCAGTTTGTGAAAATTTTTAGGTAAGATTTTCTTTTTGCTTTGCACCTCTGTCATTGTTCTTGAAACAGCGTATTAGTGTACTTTAAACCTGTACATCGCCCTAAGCTAAACTAGTGTCTATTGTGTTCATAGTATGTGCTGAAAATCCTGGATTAACTGTTTTTTCCTTTAGTAGGTGGCACTCTGTTTTCTGAGCTGGTTACCTGTGGACCATTGGATTTAAGGAGACATGGGTCTTGACCACCTGAGTTGTTTGAAAGTCATTTGGTGCTTAGGTTCTTCACTGCATGAGTTTGGAAATCATTTCCTTAGCTGTAGTGAATTATGTAGTTACTTCTTTGGATTTGCTGTCTGCATAATTATTTATTGATTCTTTGAGCTTGTAGTTTGTATTGACTGTTTTCACGCATTTAGAAGAAGTTTGTGTGGGGCTCTGGGATTTTGGTGTTATAGAAATGTTGATTTATTTTCTCCTTCCCTCTGTAGTTGAAATATGTTAATTAGATCATGTTTCTGGTACCTGGGGGTTGTTCAGAGGAATAGGCATGTACATATTGCATTACATCTGTTCTGAGATAACAATTTTTAAATATTTTAATATCTTTGAATTTGGGGTACATTTTATGACTGATGTATGTTGGAAGTGATTTTACATTCTTAGTGGCACATGAAATAATGGTGCATCTTAGAATCAATATCGTCGATTCATTGAGACATGGCAATCATTGTCCTAGCTATGTTGTTTGCTAGTAACGTTGAAAGATGTCTTGAAGATTTAAAAATTATTGAAAGTAGAACAGTTTTTATTAATTTTGAGTTTCAGCTGATAAGTTGTTTCTTTAGAGCTGAATATTTAAAGTTATATCTAAAAAAAAATCCATGAGCTATATAGACTTCTTTAAAATTTATTCCCCAAGTATCTGGTGATCATTTTTCTATAAATGGAAAATAAAGTCTGCCTAATTTTAATCCGTGATTTAGATGAGAACAATTTGAAAACTTAATATATTTGATTTTATATTCTCATTTCCTGTACTTATATTTGAAAATTTGTCAGTAAAGTAGACTGGATATGGTTTGATTACAAGTCAGAGCCCAGGTGTTCAGGTCCATATTGGTTTGAGGTCATTTATGATTCTTAGGTTTGTCTGGAATCTGAGACAACCTTAGTAGTCTTCAAAGATTTCATACTAGTCTAGATCCCTGGAGTTACTTATGGGGTCAGAGAATTCATCTGCTTTTCTCGCACACAGGAGAAAAACCTGGGCTCAAGATCAGGCTGACTTTAGAGACTTGAGTAAGTTAAATCACGAGATTTGTATAGTTTGTCTGCAATAAATAGCAAGCTTACTTTAATGCGGTTTTTTAGTTCTGAAATTTTTCAAAATGAAGATGGATTATGTAATAACACTATCCACTTCTGAGATTTTTGGCTCCATTCATATGTTGCTACTCTATTAATTAAATTTCACTAGGCCTTGTGAACATGGTAAAGGACATTTAAATTTGTAGATACTGGGTTTCAGAAGTATGACTCCTCTTTTTTTAATTGTAAAAAGAAAATGACATTTATCATCTTAACCACTTTTAAATGTAGTTTGATAGTGTTGAGTATATTCACATTGTTGTAAAAACAGTTCAGAACTTACTCCTCTTGCAAAACCAAAACTCTACCCAGTAAACAATACTCCCGGGAACTTTTCCTCCTGCCCCCAACACCTGGTAACTACCATTGTACTTTCTGTCTCTATGATTTTGACTGCTGTAAATAGCTCATATAAGGGGAATCATACAGTACTTACCTTTTTGTGACATTTCACTTAATGTTCTTAAAGTGCCTCCATGTTGTAGCATGTGACAGAATTTCCTGTTTAAGACTGAATTTATTTTACTGTATGTATATACCACATTTTGTTTATCCATTCATCCATTGATGGACATTTGGAGT